GCCGGAAGCCCTCCTTCCGGGGAACCACAAGGCCAGGAGTGAGTCGCCGGTCCGAAGACCGGTGCTCCGGGCTGGGGTTTCCCAATTGTGGAATGCTGAAATGTAGTCCCCAGTCCCTGCTAGAAGTCTCTAATTGTCTTCCTCTCTATCTGTCTCTTCAGAGATACATAACAAACTGTATCTCCAAGAAAGTGATGGAGAAGAGAGAGAGGAGAGACCCAAGACCCAGCTTAGGCTTGAAGAAGGTAATTACAAGTAGGCAGAAGACAGGTCCTTACCTGCTCAGAGGAAACAGAGACAAAGGAGCTCTTTCATGGAGACTGTGAACTAGGAGATAAATGTGGGAGGCCCATGAAGGAGACAAGGAGAGAAATTTTTATATGAGCCTTGTGTAATCAGCTTTCCATTGCTGTGACAAAGTACCTAAGAGAAATCAACTAAAAAGTAGAAGTATTACCTTTGGCTCATGGTTGTGGAGGTTTCAATCGATGGTTGCTAGGCCCCATTGTGTGGGACCTGTGGAGAAGCCCAACATCATGGTGAGAAGCACACAGTGGGATGAAGCTGCTCACCTCAGGGTAGCTGGGAAGCAGAGAGAGAGAAGGGGCCAGTGTCCCACTGACCTCTGCAAGGGAACATCCCCAGAGGGCCAGCTTCCCTCCAGTAGGCCCCACCACCTAAAGGATTCACCAGCTTCCTATAGTACCATGGGCTGGGGACAAATCCTGTGGCCCACAGCCTGTGGGGGACACTTAAAATCCAAACGGGCCCCTGAATGGATGTGGTAAAGTAGCCAGTACCTAAGATAAAGGAACCAGAGCCCAGTGTGTCAGGAAGCAGACCTAACGAGACTGACTACTCAGATGTAATTGTGACTTAGGAAAAGGTCTCTGTAGGAGACCAGTATGAAGCTGTAAAGAGGTTAGAACTATGGCCCACGGCCAGCATTATAGAGAAGGCCCTTGGTAAAAGCTAAACTCCTTTCTTATTGATACCTTCACATTCATAAAATATGAGAGGGGGATTCCCCCCAATGCCTACCAATATTCTGCAGACACTAACAGCACATTCTATAGTTTACTTCTATCCAGGCATTTACCAGCCAGGATTAGCACAGCACACATGTTAAGGGCTCAGTCCCACAGGACAGCCCCCTCTTCAGATGACAACTACAAGCTCCAGGTAGTAAGCAGGAGCAGCTTACCTTCCCTATAGCTGCAGCTTCACAGGAGGCAGAAGTAGGAGGATTGCTTGAGCCCAGAAGTTCAAGGCCACCTGGGAATGCAGTGAGACTCTATCTCCAAAGCAAAAGAAGTTCCCAGTTGGGATGTATTCTTCTGACCAACTGGCTCGAGGTTCCCACACTCTCTTCTTAAGCTGGATAATCTGTTAATGGAGCTCATACAACTCAGGGAAACATTTATTACAAAGCTTACAGTTCATTATAAAAGATAGAACTCAAGAATAGCCAGATAAAAGAGATACATGTAGGGCAAAGTAAATGAGGAAGGATATAGAATTTCCACGCCCTTTCTGGCCATGCCACCCTCTCAGAATGTCCACAGGTTTTGCCAACCCAGTAGCTCTCTGAACCCAGTCACTGAAGTCTTTTTTTTTTTAAGTAGAAGTTCCTGTCCCTAAGCATGACTGAGTAAATCATTGGCCATCAGTGATTAAGTCAGCCTCCAGCCCATCTCTCCTCCCTGGAGGTCAGGGGGCTCTGATCCTCCAATCAAGTTTAGTTTCCCTTACCAACCAGTCCTCCCTCCTTATGGGCTTTCCAAAACTCACCTCATTAGTATAAACTCGGTTGTTATTGAAAAAAGCTGGTTATAAAGAGCAAAAGAGGCTTCTTTTATTTCCATCACTTAGGAAATTCAACAGGGTTTCAGGAGCTCTGGACAACAGCAGGGGAGCCAGACCTAAATATCTACTTATTGTATCATGATGCCCTACTTCATGATAGCAGAAGAGATGTTTTTAAACCTGGGGACTGTGATTCCAGAGCAGAACGATTCATGTAGAGAGACACAGAGAGGAAGTTGTGGAGATGTGAGAAGGGTACATGAACACTTTGAGAGAGAGAGACAGAAGAAAAGGGGAAGCAAAAGAGCAGAAAGGGATAAAGGACCCCAATTTTAAAAAACCCTTGTTATTGACTGCTCACACTATAGAGTGTCTACTCTTGGCCATTGTGGATTCAGTGTTCAGGGGGCCATTGGATTCTGGCCTCACTTAGGTCCACATATTTGCAGATGAGGAAACTGAAATCTATAAAAACCATGTATGGAATTTGCCAAGAGTCAGATGAACAAGGGGGAACTCAGGCATTCTGATCTGAGAGCCGGTGTTTTCATCTAGGTAACCTAATGAAAAAGGCAGACACATGAAACAAAAGTAGGGAAATATACAAAGACAGAAAGACACAGGAAACAAACAGCAAGAGTTCCAGGAAGTGCAGGTGACTCAGCCGTGATATCCACATGGAAAGGCCGACAAAGAAGATCCAACAGATGTGCGGAGAGATGCAGTATGAGAGGGCGTGGGGACCAGGCAACCAGGACACCTAGGAGCCAGGGAAGCTGCTAGGGACAAAGGCAGACTCAGCCTGGCTGTGGATATCGTCATTGCCAGGTGCCAGAGTACCCCACAGAGGACACTGGGGGGCGGCCCCTGAGGCCTTTAGCAGCAGTGGGGTGGGCTGACCCTCCTCACCCTGAGGACTGGAGTCTGACTTCAAGAACAGGTGGTGCTGCCAGCTCCAGAGGGGCTCCAGATTGATACTTCGAGATGGGCTCTTTAAACTCCTTGATAAAAGCAGTGCAGGGAGATGGCGGGACATGGAGAAAACCCACAGTTCATTTTCTGACATCCACTTCCAATTTCTTCCCCTAGGAACTGGAAGAAACTCTGCTTCATGGAGACTCACTTGGCCATGCTCAGAGCCTTCGTCCTCTAATGGTCTGTTCCTCATGGCTCTCCTGTGATCCTTCGCTGCTTTATCCCATTCTGGAATGCGCGGTGGGGTTGCTTCCTTGCATTACTGATTGCTGGGAACTTTGAGCCTTTATGTCTGCTCTTCTCCAAGCTCAGGGTTTAGATAGCAGAGTCTTGATCCTCTGGGGTTGCCTAGGAGGTTTTCTTCTTCCCGTACCCCTTAGACATACTTGCTGTGCACTTCGGATGGCTCTGAGCCCAGATTTTTCTGAAGGACATGTTTGCAGTAGATAATGTTTATATTTCCTGTGTGGCATTCACACACGTACATACACATCTTTTCTTATTTTTTTAAAGTAAATGTCACTTCATGGTGACAGGTAAAAACAAAACACATCATTTACAAGGGTATGAAAATACGAAATTGTGGTAAATCTCACCGCAAGGTTTGCAAGACCTATATACAGATACATAACACACCTTAATTCCTTTGTTACCCTTTCCCTCCCCCTCTGTCTCCCTTTCCTCCATCTCTTGATCCCCTTAACATTTAAGGATCTATCACCAAAGAAAGAAAGGAAAAAATCGATCACCCTACTTCCTATTCCTATTCCCTATTTTTTATTTTGTTTTTTAGTTATATTTTGGGTTTCTCATATAAGAGAAACCATCAGATACTTAAGTTTGTGTGACTGACTTATTTCACTTAACATTGTGAAGTTGCATCCATTTTCCGAAAAATAACTCATTTATCTTTCTACATGGCACAGTAGTACTCCACAGTTTGTAAATATATTTTCTTTATCCATTCATCTGTTGATGAACATATAGGCTGATTTCAGTATTTGGCTATTATGAATTGTGCCACTATGAATACAGGTATGCATATGGCACCGTAATACGGTGTCTTTAATCATTTTATACTTAGTGCTCCATAAGAATGGAAGATAATAAAAATTTGTCTCTCCAGATTCTTGTTCTTTGAATTTTTCTAGGCAACGTATATGAATTTCGTGCAAAAATTCAAAACACTGGAATCTTCAGCATAAATGAAGTTAGGGATGGTGGCACAAAAACATGTACCTCAGTCCATGTTCCATATTAAACTTCTGTGATTACTTGTTAAATCACTTTTTCCTTAACTTACTGGGTTTAGAAAAATAACTGAAGAACATATTTATGCGTTCGTGTACTACTGAAGTTGGGGAGAACAGAGTGGGGCGGGTGGAAGGAATCCGTAATGGCCAGGAGAGGTTCGCCACCAGGGAAACAGTTAATCCCTTAGCCTCCGCTGCTCTGCTCCACCCTCCACCTGGACCTACCATCTTCCTGGCCAACTTTCATTGCTTGGTGGCGTCCTGCTGAGTTCCTAACATGAGAGACAGCAAAGTTTGGAGAACTGGAGGAAGGCAGAAGCTGGTGCTTCCCTATCAGTGCTTGGGAAGCCTTTCTGGCAGCACCTGCCTCTGGGTCATAGCTCCAGCTCTGTCCGCCTGGTGACGCTCCCCACCCAGGCCTCTCCTTCCACCCCTCTCCCAGCTTCCTGGTGACTGTGTTCTTCCATTTGGAATTCTCAGCTCTTCCATGAACTGAATTACATGCTCTGTGTTTTAAATACCTAGAATGATTTGTATTTTCCTATTGGACCCTGACTGATACTAGGGCCAAATAAAGCACCACGAATCAAAATGTGTTTTAGGTACAACCTCACCTGAAAAGGAGCTCCCAGACTACCCCCTTGAAAGGGAACAGATAAATGGGTTGAGAACACAAACAACCAGGGAAAACAATGGTTCATCAGGAAGCCACCAAACAGATGAGCAGGCTGACCAGGAGTCTGCACCAGTAGGTAAGTGTTTGTTTGCCCGAGTGCAGAAAGGCCAAGAGGTCCTGGATATTGGTAGAAGAGTGAACGGATGTAAGAATAGAACCAGAATCCCAGCACTCAGGAGGCTGAGGCAGGAGCATCAGACTCAGAGAGAGCAGGAATAGAGTCTGACATAGTGATGAAAGAGATCAGGAAGAAGATGGCCAGAATGAAAAAGCTAGCAGGCATAGTGACAGAAGGACAGATCAGAGAGGCACTGGCCATAAAATCAGTGAAAAACATCTTCAAGGGGTAGAGGTGCCAGCACATGCACACAGGGGTATGGGTAGAAATATGAGAAGGAAAGAAGCCGGGGGAAGTTTAATAGAAAGGAAATAGGGCGGAGCAAGGTCCTATTGGGCCTCAGATGTGGCATTTTTAATCTTCAGAATCCTTTGAAGAAGGAGGAGTCCCAGTGAGCAATGGAGATGCAAGCACGGAGCCGCCCAGCCCACTGCCCTGTGATGAAGAAAGTAACTATCACCTACCTCATTGACTTCTTTTGTTTGTCAGGTGTTCTGTGTTTTGTGGTGGTTAGATGCCTTTTTAAAAAATTCATCTTAACCATTTTTAAACTGACAAATTGGGTTTTGGGGGGTTGTTTTTTTTTTTTTTCCCCGGTACCGGGAATCGAACTCACAACCTCGCGCTTGCCAGGCAGGCGCTGTGCCACTGAGCTAAATCCCCAGCCCCTGACAAATTAAAAATTATCTATACTTGGGGCTGGTGGTGTAGCTCAGTAGTAGGGTACTTGCCTAGAATGTATAGGGTCCTAGATTCTATCCACAACACACAATCACACACACACACACATATACACACACACACATTTACAACATGATATTTTAAAATATACATACATTGTAAAGTGGCTACACTGAGGTAATTACCATATGCACTGTCTCACATATCATTTTATTGGTGAGAAACCAAAATCTATTCTCTTAGCAATCATTGAGACGTAATACATTGTTAATAACTATGGTCACTGTTATACGATAAACCTCTTATATACACTTCCTCTCTCCCTCTAGTTCCTGGTAAATAACATTAGACTTCTATGAGTTTACCACTTTCACACCGCACATACTAGTGAGATCATGCAGTATTTGTTTTACTGTGCCTGGCTCACTTCATTTCACATAGTGTTCCCCTGGTTCTTCCATGTTGTCGCAGATGGAAGGATTTCCTCCACGTTTAGGCTGAAATAGTATTCCATTGTGTAGGTATGTCACATTTTCTTTATCTGCTAATCTATAATTGGGTTGATTCATATCTTGGTTTGTTTTTTCATTGTTGTTTCTTGAGACAGGGTCTTGCTATGTAGTACAGGCTGGCTTTGAATTCGCTATGTCGTCTAGGGTTCCCCAGAATGGCTGTACTCATTTATGTTCTCACCAGGATCGCACCAGGGTTCCCTTTTCTCTCCATCCACACCAACACTTATCATCTTTTTTCTTTTTTATAATTGCCATTCTACAAGACATGAGGTGGTGTCTCACTGTGGCGTTTTTTCCAGTATAGGTGGATTTTTCTTTTTTTATTTTAAAGATAATAAAGAAGAAACAATAAAAATGATACAGAAGTTCAAAACAAGATAATAGGAAATTAACAATGCTTATTATATTGCCTATGATTATCCTCAAAGTATTTGGTCAGATTACCAGGGATAGGTATGTAAAGTTGACCAAACAGTATAAATACTAAATGTTCCTGTCAATGAACTAATAGAAATTAGTACAATTATCTTAGCTATCTTGTGTGTGTGTGGTGTGTGTGTATTTTCCCCCTTCCTTCTTTTCTCCTTTCCCTCATCCCGGTCGTTGTTTCCTTTTGAGCACTTTCTCTCCCTGTCACAATATCTATTGTACCTTTTGGATCTTATTTACTCTTTCAATTTCTTACGATACTGGCCCTGAATCTGAGTCCATTAGGGCCTACTCAGCTTTGGGGCCTAAAGCAAAGCCCAGCTCTCCCTTCCTTCTTCTCCCAAGTGCAGAGTCTCTCTGTCCGTGCCGTGCTGCCTGGAGCAGAGAAAGAATGCATAGATAACACAAAACTCTCCTTCCTGTCATCCTCATGCATCTCTTCCTGTTTCTTTGCTACATCTGTGTGCTGTCATCTCTCACCTGGTTCCCTTAGATCTTGTGAAAGTATTTCCACACTTAGAATTGCTCAGCTGGTGTTTCTGAAGGGAGATGGATTCTGGAGACTCCTATTCCACCAACTTGCTCTGCCCTTCCAAAATGTCTTAATTATTTTATATTTGTTCTTTTATGAGAGCAAAAATTTTCCTTTATTCTCCCATACCAACTGCTCATTCCCATCCAAAAAAAAACCAGTCTCTGTTACACAGTCTCTGGTTGCTTTTTATGCTGTTGGCAACAATCCTCAGGTGGGCCTTCCACACCCAGCACCACGCTGATTCAGTTCAACTGGGTGTTACAAGTGAACCATTAGTTAACCCATCACAAATGGTAACATGGAAATCACACATGCTTCCCGTCATAGCTGCACGGAAGGAAGCCCAAAGGGAAGACCTTCAGGACAGAACTGTATGGTGCAGTGGAAGTGGCCTTAGGAGAGAACACTGGGAATGACTGGGATGTCTGGAATGAGGCAAACACAGAAAGACAGAAAGGGATGACAATCCTTGATACAGATTTGTATGAGACATTGTCTTGGGCTCGAGGCCTCCAGCTGGACTCATGCAGGACATTGCCATGGGATCCAGGCCCTCAGCTGGATTCTCTGGGTCTCTAGTGTGTGGACAGATCTCCTGCACTCTTCTGCATTTGACTCTTTGGGTGAATATTATAAAATAATCCTATAAATTATGTGTCCCATATTAAATCTATCATCACTGCCGGTGATAATTAAGGGGAAAGAAAGGATGTACCTGAGACTATAGTGCTGCACACAATAAATCAGACACACAAGCTTAAATGTAGCATAGTTTCTCTTATTTGAGAAACCAAAAGCACAAATCATTAAAAAGCAAAATAGAAGATAGCTACTAGAAGACAGAGAGAGAGAGCTTTAGCATGCGAGAAGGGGACTAGGAGATAAAGGGGGTGGGAGGTGGAGGGAAAGGAAGGAAACAGGACATAAAAAGAATTAAGATGTATTATGTACAGGTACCAACTCCCCAAGAGAAATGTAACCATTGTGTGTCCTAAACATGCACTAGTAAAGATAAAAATAAAAAAACAATTCAGAAACAAAAGCAAAGCCAGGCATGGTAGTGCATGCCTGTAATCCCAGCACTCGCGAGGCTGAGGCAGGAGGACCGCCATGAGTTCAAGGCCAGCCTGGGCTACACAGTGAGTTCAGGGCTAGCCTGAGCTACATAGTGAGACCCTGTCTGAAAAAACAACAGCAAAAAAGAAGGAAAGAAAGAAAGAAAGAAAGAAAGAAAGAAAGAAAGAAAGAAAGAAAGAAAGAAGGAAAGAAGGAAAGAAGAAAGAAAGAAAGAAAGAAAGAAAGAAAGAAAGAAAGAAAGAAAAGAAAAGAAAGAAAGAAAAGCAAATGAGGAATAGGTTGGAAACACAACAGATGGATCCACTGACACATCAGGTAGGAAACAGCGTGGCTGGCACGAGGTGAGCAGAGGGACCCCCAGATGATCTCGCTCTCAGCACGAGACTGAGCACTTCCTTAATCCTTGCGCCAAAGTGCAGCCTACTCTTGGCCCTGAGAAACAGTGATTTTTTAAAATGTAGAGAAAAAGAGATGTGCAGAGAAAGCTATAAAGGAAAATGAGGGGCTGGGGATTTAGCTCAGCGGCAAAAGCGCCTGCCTGGCAAGCGCAAGGTCGTGAGTTCAGTTCCCGGTACCGGAGAAAAA